AAAAAAAAATGCAGCTTTTACCACTCTCTTGTTCCCAAAAGGCCGAAATGATGACCTCAACAAATTTCAGAGTCTGTTACATGTCAATGATTGACATATCTAAAAGGTTGAATTAAGCAAGGGGTCTGAAATTCAAAGAATGAGTCTGTAACATTTAACAAGAAGTAGAGTTTTCAGACAAAGCCAACATATCAATATAAATGTTTCCCACAAGTTGCCTTGGGATAAAAAGACTTGGTCTTCACATTCAAATTTCTCCTTTACCCTGAATTTATATAATACAGTCCTCTGGTTCCTGACTTCTTGTACCTGAAAGCAATTATATTGAATAAATCTCTGCATCTGCTCTGATATGTTCTTTGGGAAGAAAAATATCCTAGAAGTAGGAGCTGCCAGTTCTTTTCATATAAAACATTTTGTCTGTGACCAAGGAACCAGGAGATTTTTTTAAGTGATGGTATCTGAGGTCTGGGTTAATAAAAATAATCCTACTTGTAAAATCTCTTTGAGTTTCCATGTGACTAAACTGGGTTAGAACCTGGGCTCTGCAGTTTTCTGATTGCTAACTTTGGACAAGCCAAGTAATATAGGTCTCCATCTCCTCATCTCTCTGAAGGAAGAAATATCAGTGCCTACCTCAAAGGTTACGGTGAACAGTAAATGAGATATTGCACAGTAAATGCTCAAAAATGGATTGTTATTACTAATGGCACTTAAGGTATGGGATGCTATTTTCTTTTTAAAATATAAACCCTTAGAGTCAAAAATCCAAGCAATTGGGAATGTGGCTGGCATGGCTATATTATCCTTTTTCAGTAGCCACTTCCTTGAAAGGCTGCATTTTCTGTGATGGTGCCTGAGAAACAGAGATGAAATAACTTGCCCAAAGCCACTCAGCTAATAAATATCAGAGCTGGATTTAAAACCTGAATAGTCAAGCTTCTGAATCCATATTCCTAACTACTTAACTGCTTCTCTGAGGGTCTCCGTATTCAATGACTGTCCAGAACAAAGCCCAAACCATAAGCGAATCCTTTCCCTCTAATTTCCTGCCAAGTGTTCTGGAAACTCAAGTGGGCTCCAGCATAAGACTGCTCTGAATTCAGGGATATACTAGAGGATTTAAGCAAGAAAAAACAGCCAGGCTATATCCCATTATAGTCCCCAGAGCGCTGCAGGGACGAGCTGAGTGCAACGACTGGGTGAAGTATGGACACCTCACGGTTTCTGAAAACTTAAAGGCAGAACCAGTACATTTGGTGAATGTTGACTCAGGATGCAAACCATTTCCACAGTCTGAAAGAGAGCTCTCGATTATATGCAAAGTGCTTGTACAGCCACTGCAAACTGAGATAAGCATTCAAATTCACTGTCAGCCCAATGTTTGGAGTTTCCACATCTAAAAAATGAAAATTAGAAAATGTTACTCTACTCCGAGGGAGTTTGCAGATGGAATTCCAACCCAAATAAAGGATGACCTTCTGTATCAAATTAAAGGCTGCTCTTTTTTTGTTTGAAGTTAAAAAGGAAAAAAATTCACAATTATGAAATTCAAAATTGCTTTTGTAACCTTCCCTGCCAGCCCTACAAACAAAAGAGCTGATACCAGGTGAGCAGTGACTTCCTGTTTCAAAAATCAACCTCCCTGCCGTGAGGAGGCCTGATTCTGCTCCTGTTCTTCTGTTACCTGTGAGGGCCTTGGTGTCAGCTTTCTTGCTCCCCTGGCTCCCCCTCTCAGCCCACACGTAGACTTTGTACGCGTCTCCTGGCCTCAGGCCGGTCAGGGTGGTGCTGCTCTGGTCCCTGTGAACGGCTGTCTCCTTGGTCTCCCCATCAGCAGAGGTGTAGCGCACCATGTACTTGTCTATGACAGCCTGAACCGGGTCCCAGGAGACAGTCGCTGTGTCTTCTGTCACTCGATCAGTGACCACATTGGTTGGACCATCAATTTCTTTATGAAAATGCATGAGAAAGAAACATCAGAGGAACCATTTGTCTGGACAAGATCATAGATGCTTAAAGATCTAATTCACCTGATTGACCTAGTCCAATGGTCAATAAAATCCAAGAAGCTCTATCATCTAGGACAGATGGGCAGCTGGTCTCTGTTTGAACCCTAAACTGAAAAACAGCTCCCTAACGAACAAAACAATCCGTTCTACTTTCCGACCCCCAAATCCATTAGAGAAGACTGCTTCAAGTATAGCCACTTGAAGAGTAGCCCCTTCAACTGTGTCTGCCCTTGGTACACATACAGAATGCATCTAATGCCTCTTCCAGGAAACCACCCAGCAAGGATGCAAGAAAAGCTATCATTCCCCTTCCTAATTCTCCTCAAATCAAACCACATCACCTCTCCTATCCATTCCTTCCAAATTATATTTTCTAGACCTGGCACTTACATCTAGTTACATTCCTTTCTCTTTTCAAATAAAAATCCCCAAAACTCAGTTCATTCATTCAACAATTCATCAAATGTCCATTATGCCAGGGAACATTATGACACTCAAGAGTCATCAGTGAGAAAACCAGAAATCTCTGCCCATATGGAGTTCATGTTCAAAAAGGATCAATGTAGAGCAGTATTTTAGCTATGTCCTGGACACCGTGCTGAACCCATGGCCTTTGAAAACTCCTAATTTTTTCCATACATGTCCCTGCTAACCCACAGGTTCTCAGCCTTTGTCAACCAAGTACTACCACCAGAGATCTTCTGAAGTAGACTTCAGAAGATCGTCCATAAGCTGTGGCATCTCTCTTTAAAAGTCAAATAAACAAAACTCCCCAGGTGATTTCTGATACACCTCAAAGGCTGGGAACCCCTCTGCTCAGCCACTGATTCTTGTTAGATTTTATCTTATGGATTCCATGTATAATTTGGTCTTTCATCCAACATGCTCATTTTTCTTCCCAGCCTCTTCTCACCTGAGAACTTAATAAGTAAGCCATCTGGGCACGTCCATTAAGGTTGCTGACAAGGATGGTGCACAGAGCAAAGCCTAGAAGTGCTATAAGAACCCAACCTACATGCAGATTGTATCCTTCTGGGCAATGGCACACAAAACATCTTACGTTTGGACACCCAAGCATTTTTCCTTACTTTCCACGCTGTTCTTGTTCTCTTGGCCAGGGGCTCTCTAGAGAGAAATTATAACTTCATATGCTGTCATGTTTTTAAAAATAGCCTGAGCAACAGAGTGAGAATCTGTCTCAAAAAACAGATAGGGTCTCTATGTTGCCAGGCTGGTCTCAAGCTATTCTCCTTCCTCAGGCTCCTAAGTGCTGGGATTACAGGAGTGAGCCACCCTCCCCAGCCAGCCTCATTTTTAAATATCAGCTACAAGGTACGCTTGCCGAGCACAAGGGCAGCATTTCATTTGCATGCAAGGAAATGAAATCTATTCCATTACAAGAGGCAGCGCATGTTTTATTTAGTAAATCAACTGCTATCTATTGAGTAGATACTAAATTCTGCATGTTTTTCATATATTACTTTATCGAATCTTATGGTAACAACACAAAGCATTTATCAGATTTCCCAAGTACCAGTTTGCAAAATGAATAATGCTTACCGTTTTTAGAGCACTAACTCTACAGCAGACTCAGAGAGGTTAGATAGTTTGCCCAAGATCACTCAGCTGACCAGTGGTAGTGGCTGACTCATTCCACAAACATGCAGTGAGTCCTGGCCTGCAGCTGGGGATTCAGCAGGGCTATCAGTTGAATACCAGGGCCACCATCTAAACTCAGTCCTATCTAACAAAGACTAGACATTTCCACTTGGTATCACTATAGCCTCGGCAGCACTATCAGCCTTTTCTTTTGAAATTAATAATAATAATAAATTATAAATAAAATGTGATCTGAAAGGTTGCTATAATCTGGTCTAGCAGCAGTAATAGATTAGCATTTGGAGAGACAACTAGAGAAAGAAAATGGTCTTTTCTATGACCATTCTATCCTCAATGGTCCTTGAGGATGTCAAGGACCTTTGTAGGCTCAAGCAGCCTCTGAGAGAATGTTCAGGAGAAAGAGTGCACAGCAACAGAGAGGGCTCCCCTCTTGGCCTGCTGCGTCTTTCAACGCAAGACATAATTCAGAACACACAAAAGGCTACAGAAATTAGTGGTGAACTGGGAACAGAGAAATCAGGATGCAAGAAGAAGAGAGTAAGAACACCCTGACATTTCTGCTCTTAAAGTCCCTGGGCCCCACTGTGTCCAAAGTGACCCCCATCCATGCAGATCCCAGAAGTGCCTCCCACTCCTTCTCACCATCCTAGCTCGTGCTTGCTGCTATAGCTTCTGCAAACCACAGCCCAGGTCCATGGCTGTGTGGGATCCATGCCGCCTGGGTGTGCTAAGAGATTTAGCACACCCACGTGGGTGGACGGAAGAAACTGCAATAGCCCAGAGCTCTCAGAGTACTCAAAGGATGGAGAAGAACCAGGGAAAGGCATCTGGAGTCTAAAAAATAAGAAGGTAAGGCTGGGTGTGGTGACTCACGCCTGTAATCCTAGCACTCTGGGAAGCCTAGGCAGCTGGATTGCTTGAACTCAGAAGTTCGAGACCAGCCTGAGCAAAAGTGAGATCTCATCTCTACTAAAAATAGAAAAACTAGCCAGGCATTATGGTGGGCACCTGTAGTCCCAGTGACTTGGGTGGTTGAGCCAAGAGGATCTCTTGAGCCCAAGAGTTTGAGGTTGCTGTGAGTTAGCATGCCATGGCTCTCCACACAGGGTAAAAAGTAAGACTGTCTTAAAAAAAAAGAGTAGGCAAGTAAAACAAAATCATATCATGTATCATGCCAGGGTTATAGAAGATCTGAAGTTTAAGCCCAAAGAGGTGATATGATTTCTATAAGTTCACAGAGCCTGTTAGAGGCCAGGCCAGCCTAGAAGTGTAGGCTCTCTGCCTTCTCTCTCCACAATTTATCTCAACTCCCTAACAACTTAAACAGGAAGGGGCTCTTCACTGAGCTGTCCCTTTCCTTGACAATCCCCAGGATGAGAATCAGATGCCAAGATAGATACAGAAAAGGGAGAAAAGCCTCAGAGATGGGACCTCCATGACAGGCCGCCACATAGCTGGAAGAGATCGGCTCTGCAAGACCTAAACCTCCCTCTTGGCCAATAAAGACCATGGGATCATTAGCAGTTTTTCCACACAGTGAAGCTTTACAGTAGCTTCGGTAACTGGCCAAGTCACAGATGAGTCACAGCTGTAGCCACAACTGCAAGAGAAGCTCTCCCTGGCTCAGCCCCCATGTCCTCCTCAGGATACAACTTCCCACCTGCTGAACACTAACTAGCAGCCCTGATGGGACCTTTCCCAGGGTCAGTCAAGGTTGGACAGATTTAAAGCCAGACATACAAGGCCTGATACATGGGACTTTGAGTACACGTATCAAAGCTTTGTACATGTATGGAAGCTTGAGGACATGTGTTAGTTAGAACAAAGATGGGCCCCCCTTTAAAGAGACCTACTTGCAAAACCTGAACACAGTATATAGAAGAAGTTCATTAGGAGCTCTGTTTGCATTAGGAAAGTTTATTCCACTTTATACGAAGATTCGCCACAAGGTCGGGTGAGGAATAGCTATTCTTGGTCTAGGCTATAACACGCAAGTACATGTCGACCCTCCAGCACATGGCCACAGGCACTAGGAATAGGTTTCTCCATTCACAGTGGCCACCTGTGACTTACCCAGCTGGTGTAGTGGAAAATGGTGCAACCAGGATATAAAATCTATGAGATAGAAGCTGAGGGGCAGAGAAAGGGGATCTGTGACCTATGTTACTAATTTGAAGGTTGGTTCTCAGACAAGGTGTCTTGAATGGACCTAGGCATTTATGACTTTGCTCTCACAGGCCTCCTCTACTGCCTTTCCACTGTGGCAACAAAGTGATTCAGAAGGCACCATTTGTAGAGAAAGCGTTCAGAGAGAACAAGCCTTCTTCTTGCTGTCCTCTAACTTTGCTTCTGGAAAGAATAGCAACTTCAGTCTCAAGTTCAAATGCCGCCAGATTAGCTATTCACTAGTTCACTCTGAGTCTCCTAAATGTAGGTTTCAATGTTCTTGTCTGAAAAATGAGAATAATAATGCTTGCAATACTATTATAGGGCTCAGAGATAATATTTATAAAAGGTCACAGTACACAGAAGCCCACTAGAATACAGTGGTTACCCAAAGGATAAAGATCATTATGGTTTTTCAGCCACCAGCTGTGTGAAGACAGGAGTTCTGAGTGTTGACAGGGAGCTCAGCTTAGAATGCGAAGTCTGGGAAGGAAGGTTTTAGGAGGCTACGCCATTTCAATGGAACCTTGTGTCCACATATCAGTAAAAAGTGAAAAAGATAATAAGAGAAGCAAAGCTGTTATTTCAGCAGAACATAATCTCAGGGGGAAAGTTCCCCAAAATTGCTGAAAAGTAAATGAAATATGCCACCTATTCCGCCATGCACAGGAGCTTGTGAAATTACAGTACAGCAAGCACACCTTGTTTTATACTGCCCATGGGGAGGCGTGAATCATAAAAGTTATTTAAAAAAACATAATAATTAAAAAATAAGCAAGAGAGAGAACTTTAAATTCATTTAGCCCAGCCCTTCATCTCATAGATACAAAAACTGAGGACAAAAGATTGGCGCCACCTCTCAGTCTGTGGCCTGCCTAATAGAGATATGAAGTGTGGCTGCGGGGGCCGGGAGGTGTCCAGGGACACACCCTGAAGACGCACGGGCCTGGCTTGTGCTTTGTCCTTGCTACTCTTGAAGCTGACCTTTCTGGAAGGTGCTCCAATGCACTCTGAGAGTGTTAACAGGGTGAAGAATCTCAGTCAGCCCTTCTCCTTCATGGTAGTGGTTCCACTGGGTGACTTGTTAAATGGAAAATACCTCAACTGTGTCATTTCCTCCCTGGACGCGCTTACACGGTTCTTAAGATTCGGTGTCTTTTTCCATCTTGTGGGATGCAAAACATTTGGAGAAAATAGAGATTTTTGTTTTAAAAATCCCTAAGTTAATTAACAGTCTAGTCAGGTTTGAAAGTATTTCCTGACATTAGAAATTACCAAGTCTTTTTTCTGTTGGTCAGACATATGACACAAATGTATTTGAAACCCCATAAAATATTCCATCCTGCTTTTAATTGGATATAATTGACAATAAAAACACTACGTGAGTGGTAACATTCTAGTTGGGATGATATACATAGTACTTGAAAGGTTAGCTAGCAAATCGAGACCATATGTGATTAAATGCTCTCAGGGACTCAGGCGATGATGGCTGACATTAAATGTGGTCATAGAAGGCTTTAGTGGAGAAGTTAAGTTTTAACTCAGCCTGGAAGGATGAATGGTATCATTGCTATGAACCCCAGCAGGACAGAGACCATGGCTTGTCATCTCCAGAGGTTTCTAAAGGGACCGTATCTTCTTTGCCTAACTGTACCTTGCAATAAATGTTTGTTGAATTAAATGAATTGGTAACTAAAGATAATAGCAGATGGTTTTCTAGGCTGGGTTTAACAACATAAACCCACAGTGCAGAGAAATAAGCCTGTTCTTGGGAAACTCCAAGAACAATCTGGCTACAGGAAATAGTGAGAATAACAACAGCCCGGGTTGGACAGGCCCCCTGAGGCCAACATAAAAGGATTATACCCTATTCTAGTAATGAGAAGTTACAGGCATTTTTTTTTTTTAATTAGACAGTAAACAGTATGAAAATTAACCAGAAATAATGAACAGGAAAGATAGAAGGTGTGGTATTATGATTTATAATAAGAAACATATTTGGTCTTGGTCACCCAGATTTCCAGCACACAGGTCCTTAAACTCTTGGAATCTTTGAAGTGTAAAGTGTCTTCTTTCTTATGCGAGTGAGGGAACTCCTGGCCAGGGGCCTCTAGAAAGTCACCGGATGAGAGAGTGGTGGCAAGGGGAACTGACTGCATAATTAGAGGGCTGGAACTTCCAGTCCCATCATCACCCCCTATCCTCTACTCCACCCCCCTAACTGAGGAGGGAAAAGGTGCTAAAGGTTGAGTTAATCACCAGTGGCCAATGACATGATCAACCAAGCCTGCGCAATGAGGCTGCCATGAAAGCCAGGAAAGCATAGGGTTTGGAGGGCTTCCTGCTCACTGAACATGCAGAGGTTCCCGGAGGGTGGTGTTCCCAGAGGAGGAGTGGGAGCTCTGTGCCCCTTCCCACGTACCTTCCATCTGGTGTTCATCTGGATCCTTTATAGTAAATGAATAAATGTAAGTAAAATGTTTCTCTCAGTCTGTAAGTCTTCTAGCAAATTAATGGAACCCAAAGTCCTAGGAACCCACAATTTATAGCCAGTTGGTCAGGACTACAGGTCGCAGCCTGGGAACTGGTATTGCATCTGAAGTGGGAGTAGTCTTATTGGACCAAGCTCTTATCCTGCAGGATCTGATGCTATCTCTAGGTGGATAGTGTCAGAATTGAATTGCATTACAGGACACCCAGTTGGTGTGCAATGGAGAATTGCTTGGTGTACAAGGCTAATCTACTTCCAAGGATGATGTGTTCTCTGTGGTGTTGACTGTGTACAAGAAGAAAAATGCTTACCTCCTGCAGGAAGGGAAAAGTGGGAAGCACTTTAGCTTTGTAGCTAAGCCCAAAAGCTTAGACTGGGACATCCTAGTTCAAACCCCAGCTCTGTCATTTCCTAATAGTCAATCTTGAGTTGAACTTCTCTAAGCATCAGTTTTTTACAAACAACCTAAAAATAATAATAGTGTCTAATTCACAGGACTGTTGTAAGAACTAAACGAGGTAAGTCACGAAAAGTGTTTAGTGAGTATGATGCCTGGCACATAGTAAGCTCTCAAGCCACAGCTAGAGAGAAAACCACCAGAAACAAGGAAGAACTTCTTTTCAACTTTCTGAGATAACAGCCCACTATTCAACAGGCAGCACGGTCTAGATAGTTTAGCTTATAAATTAAATTGTATCTTATCCTTTGTAGTTATTCAACTATATCTCTTTCATATTCCAGATATGCAAAATGTTAAGCAGATAAAATAGTGATTTCAATCCTTGCACCATCTCACCCCTTATTCTCCACTACCCCAACCAGCTACTTCCAGGACTGAATTGGAAAAAACGAAAAACCTTTACAAGGAAGACTCAAAATTCAAAGACTCCTTCTTTGCTGGCTCCAAGGATTAGCCTCCACCAGTGGCATTACATTGTAGATCACAGGTTCCCAACTTAGAGAAGGCTGGAACACAGTTATTGCAGGAGGTTCACAATTCAATATGGGCCCAAGTATTGTTTAAAAACTAAAATGGTGGCTCAGGCCTGTAATCCCAGCATTCTGGGAAATTGAGGCAGGTGGATCTCCTGAGCAGGAACAATACCCCGTCTCTACTAAAAATAGAAAAATTAGCCAGGCGGTGTGGCAGGAGCCTATCGTCCCAGCTACTGGGGACGTTGAGACAAGGAAATCTCTTGAGCTCAAGAGTTTGAGGTTGCTGTGTGCTGTGACACCATGGCATGCTACTTGGAGCACAGAGTGAGACTTTGTCTCAAAAATAAGAAAGAATGAAAGGAAGGGAGGAAAGGAGAGAGGGAACATAGGATGTCTTAGACATTATTATATGCCTACATTGTTCTCAAATTCTGTTCTGATTTCTACATGAGAAATTATCAAGTGTTAACTGATCTTTAATGTTTGGCCATTATATATTTTCTAATATACAGATGTTAAATATATTGCTGTTGCTACGTGGGGGTCTTTAATATCTTTTGACATTCGAGAACAGACTGAGTGTGGTCCTCAGGAAAAAAATGTAGGTGTGATAAGAAGAAAATGATAGATCACCTGTCTTTAGGTAACATGGAGCTGTGTGCCTACATCCACAGCAGTAAGTGTCTTAAAATAAGGCAGTGAGTGACTGAAGCTGTTAAAATAAGCAGCAAGGTGTCAGAAATCGCCTTTTCCTTTGATCCCAAGATCCTGGGGGAGATTCTCAATGGCACGAAAAGATTGGAAACAGGAAAGTTTGTTTCCACTGCACTGCCCTCTAAAATAGATGTCAGTACACAAAGGGATAGAATCCTTGACACGCAAATCCCAGAATTTTTATCCAGCGAGGAGTCAGCCAAGAAAAACATCAGACTGTGAATATGATTAACCAGTAATAGTACTTCTAGGTAGCTCTCACCTGTCCTGCCATTCAGGAGAATCGGCCTTCCCTCTAGTTCTCCTCGCACGGGGACAACTGTGATGTTATACTCTGTCCCGGGCTGCAGACCTGGAAACAAGCAGCCAGCTTGGATGTGAGCACAGGCACCAGGCACCCCCACCTCCCCCAGGATCTGCCCGGGGATCCCTCCTGTGAGGAGGAGAGGAGGGGTTATGCTTTCCCCTCCAAAGACAAACCCCTATGTAGGAGCAAATAAAGACCCACAGCAGGAGTGGAATATGAGGCCTCACTTAGGGGGCCTATCATCAGGGTTGGGGGGGACAGTGGATATGAAGACAGCAGTGCTCCTGTTCTTTGGGGGGCCACCAAGCACCTACGTCCCAGTTTTATTTACAGCCCCAAATGTTTTCCGGCCCCCAACAATCCTTTTCCCTCTAAAGATTCTTTCCATCTCATTGTAATAATTGCCCTGGATTTTTTTTTCTTTTCTGAAAGTTAATTCTCTGTAGAAGCACTCTGAATGATTGTTCCCCCTGGCACAAATATCCAGATGCTGGTGGTGGCACAATGCAAGCAAACAGCAGCATGTGTGAGGCACACACCCTCATTCCCCACCCCACAAACACTGAGCCCCAAGATGTTCTCTCAAGACAGAACTCAGAAAGTGGATGGACGATACAGCCCCACAGAAAAATTTACCCTGAAATTAATAAGAATCAGGGCCCCTCACTTTCCTGGGCCCTGAGCCTCATTAAGTATTATTTCTCTTTGCAGAGGCCCTGGAAATTGGATTAACTTCAAGCATTGTAAGAGTTGATCCATCCCTGTGCACTCATTCGTTCCCTTTGTGCTGCATGAATTCCAGCCCTCTGTGCCCCACCTGGGTCTCCTGATAGCACCATTCTGTGCATTGAGCTCAACACACCAATCTCAAAAGCACCCCTTCCCCCACACACACACCAGTTCCTCCAAAAGGAATGTCTGTACACCATTGAGACCATCCTGAGACACAGACAGGGTCTTCTGGAGGGTTGGCTGACTTGGAGAACATCTCAGACGTGTAATCTGCTAATAAGGGACCCTGATGCTGGAGCAGTCTACAAGTTTCCAGAGGGACCTTACATCTGGAAGTTTTAGGGCCAGGGGTGAAGTGTGATTCCTAAGGCCCCAGGACACTCTGTACACACATAAGCAGTGCAGAGCTTGTAGCTTCTGCACACACTGTCCCCAAGTCAGCATCCTCAGTGTTGGCTCTTACCAGTGATGTCGTATCGGCTCTTGGGGTCACTGCTCTTAGGCACAGTGACCTCTGCCACCTCCTGTCCTGTCATGGGGCCATACCGCAGCTTGTAGTAGTCCACCTCAGTTGGGGGGTTCTCCCACTCCACATCAAGGGAGTTCTCAGTCTCATCGGTCACCCAAGCAGTGCCAAGCACAGAGAGGTCTAGGGAGGGATTGAGGGAGGCAAGAGAAAGCAGTGAAGAGTGGAAGTCCTGAAGGTCCGTGACACCCCAGTGGCTACCAAGACAGCTCCCTTACTAGGCATACTGAGAGCTGGCTTTAGCCCAGAACACAAGCCATTACAGGTGTCTTAGCACTACCAAAGTAGCAACTAAGCTGCTGGTTTTCTGGTTTTCCATGGAGGGCAGACTGTCTTCTGGGAAAGCCTCCACTCTCCTAGCTCCTCCCCACATCAGATGCTGCATAGGCAGCCCTCCCTGTCCCAGCCGACTTTGGTCAAGCCCAAGCTATCTATGCTCTCAGGGCAGCCACCCCAGCCCCTCAGCCCAGGGCTCAGACTACTCTGGACTAAATGATCACCCTTTCGCTGCAGGGACCCTGCCCTCCGAGATGACCTCAGGATGAGACGTGCCAGTCCTCCCTGACATGTGAAAGAAAACGCACTGCAAATTTTCTAGATTATAACATTTCTAATACAACCAGATCCTTCTTCCATCTCCCAAATTACAGCCCCTGCCCTAAATTCTCCTCTAAGGATTAACCCTAGGCAAAACTATGAAGTAGGTGAATTTTAATTGGTCCCTCTCAGTGCTTTTTCTGCACCTTCCACCAAATTTTAGCATTTCCACCAAATACCTGGTATTCTCATGCTGCCAAGTCTATCTATCCAGTGAGGAAGGAGAGTTACTGTAGCCATTCATTCATTGTAAAGTACACACATTGTCAGCTAAATGTTTACCCTTCCACTCAAAAAAACTTCATGAAATTTTATAATGATTAATACAAAAGAACGGAGAACTGATATGGCTCTAAGGGGAGAACATTTTTTGGAGGGGGTGGGAGGGCTGAGGTCTTTTGGGAGCACTTTTAATTCCCACATCCACATCCCAGGCTATGCAGCCTGGCCTTGTGGGTTTGTAAGATGGAAGACAAGTTCCTTAATTCTCAGCCTTGTGCCCTTCCACCGTCACATCCCCATCTGCACCTCCCTGGAGGTGTTTCCACCCAGGCTGACAATCCCTTGTCAGTGATGTACGACAGGGAATTTGTGCATCAGGCAGTGGCCTTGAAGCCCCTTGGCCCTGAATGTCCTTGCCTTGCTCTGCAATAGATAAAGAGGCTTCTTAGGGCCTTTTCTCCAACGCATGTCCTCTCACCCACTGGCTTCCATCTGCTAGCCTCCAGGTTTTGTTTCTAGACTTCCTTCCAGGAAGGAATTCCCCAAGGGATGGATTAATAGGCAGGTGAGTAGTGGAAGTGACTCAAGGTTGTAGAAGAGGTCCTGCAAGGCTTCTGAGAATGGGAAGGATTTGCAAATGAGGACAGTCAAGATTAAAGATGGCGACAAGTGTCTCTCTCCCCAGAAGCAAACAAGGATGGGTTTAACTTGAGTCTCATTAGACAGAAAGACAAAACATCACACTTTCAGGGTTTTACAAGACCTGAGAGCAAGACACCTTAGAGCAGATGCCCCGTCCTTCTCTGGCAGGCTCTGGATGCTGTCCTGGCTAGACTGCTACTCTTTTACCAGCCATAGCTTTAGCTCCTCTTGTCTGCCCTCTTTCTAGACAAGATTCATTAAGATACACAGCCACAGGCTC